CTTCAGAAATCCATCGCACAATCTCTGCTCCTTCTCAGGAAATCCTCAAGAAGGTGATACTGGGAGAAATGAGCCAAACTGTAACTGAACACCTCTAGGAGAGTATTCAGTGACCCTGCTAAACTCAAATCACTTACAATACTTCAAGGGGGAACACAGTACAACACTGATCCTGACGCAGAGTATATGTAGTGGTGGTTTGAAAGATAGAAGAAGGTGTATTGTCACATGACTACTGCTGACAAGTATGGAAGGGAGTCATGTGATTGCTAAGTAATGGAAAGTAAACCATATTGAAGAAGAATGGAATCCCATATTCGTCACAGTGCTGCAGGCCCCAGAAAAAAAATGCTATTTTAGAGTAAGTGAAAATGCCTTCAAAAGCTGGTGTGATGTGTGACATCACCCTCATTTCCCTTCCTTTGGAGGCCTCTGTGATGTGTGATGTGAAGACATGGTCATATTAGTACAGTACTCTGAAAATGTCATGGCAGTGGGGCACTATAAGAAACATGACAGAGAACATCATGTGATGACCCAAGACTGCCTTAGTGGTGTCACATGAGAAAACCCACTATTTACATAGCCACTGTGCACCATAGAGCGAGTTAAAATGACCTGCTAGAAAATTGGGTAAATGAGGAAAAAATACCTACTAATCAAAAAATACCCAAGTTCTCAGTCAAATGACTTGTGTAATGGGTTATCTGGACCAGGTTGCTAACAGCTTAAGTGCCCCATTACCCCTTGTTCAAAATGTAAACTATGACACTTACTCATATAAAGAGGCTAGCACTACCTCAATCCTCACAATATAGGCCATGGACACTACATACTATGTAAAAAGTGCCTAGGAGGTCATATATATAGTTAATCAAAATTCTATTGTTTATTCAGATCAGGATTTGGCCAAGGATTCTGTTGCTTGCTTCCAGCATTTGTATCTCTAGGTTCTCTGCCTCTGTGTATTTTCCAAGACTATAATATGTTACTGCTAGATTTGCCATGGCTTCAATTGTGTTAGGGTGTTCCACTCCAAGAATTCTGTTTCTTGCATCCAGAACTTGAATCTCCAGCTTCTCTGCCTCTGTGTACTTTCTCAGGTTTCTATATGTTGCTCCTAGATTTGCCATGGCATGGAGTGTATCTGGGTGTTCTGCTCCAAGAATTCTGTTGCTTGCATCCAGAACCTGCATCTTCAGCTTCTCTGCCTCTGTGTATTTCCCCAAGTTGCAATATGTTACTGCTA